TAACTGAATTAGAGATGGTCACAGGGCCAAATGACCTGAAAAGAATATAAATATGAATATAATTGTATAGATACATGTATTATAATAATTAATCACAAGAGAAAATGCATGCACATTAAAGTATATTAATTAGAAAATTTTTGAGAAATTCAATTCAATTCAAATTATTCCACTTTTGATGTGTAAATAATAATATTATATAAGTTGGTGCAGTATATATATAGATTATTGATCGTCAAAAAGATCAGATACCCGCATGGGTATTATTAATTTACGTAATTAATAAGCAATTACTTATATATATATATATTATATTATATTATATTATATATTACATATCACTTATGAGTACTATATATATATATATCTTAATGGTTTTCATTTTATTATCGTTTAAATCACCGGGATGAAATTGGGTTTTTTTTTTCAGAGTTTACATTTCATGAAGTTTAGATTACTAAATTTTCATTATCTAATAATTTATATAATCTCATTATTATATTTTGTGTGTGTGTGTGTATATATATATTATGCAAAGTAATTTAATTAGTTTGATGGGAGATATGGCGATCCACTTGCGATCATGTGGGTAGTACACAGAAAAAGAAAAAAAGACACTATTAAAAAATATAATGTGAGCTTATATATATAATTATGCTTTATATATATATATATATAAACCCTGAAAACTTAAGTTATAAACATATTTAATACTTGAGTAGCTTCGTGGACAGAGATATTCAGCAATAATGATGGGTGCATTACAGAACTATATATACATATATATATATATATATTACTTTTCGAAATTATAAAAGTAATTATTGAATGGCATATATGTGTATATATGGTTATTATTAATATGGGTTAATGATAGAATATTGGGAGGAATTATGGAAAATTAAAAACAATTATAAGGGCTGTCAGCAGGTGTTGTTTCCAATAATATTCTTGGAATTTCTTTAATTTCTAAAGATTAGTTTATAACAATTTCAAAAGCCAGATTATTAAAAATTAAAGAAATCAAAATTTATCGTAAATGAATGGAGATAAGTTTATATATATATATATATATATATATATGGTGTGCTCCTTTTGAGGTTAGTTGAACCCCTCCTACATTATTGTCTATAAATATAATATTAATTATTATAATAACCCTTTTTAATAGTTTAATTAATTTCTTAAATAATATATATATATATATATATATATATGCATGGCTTGTTGTCTCCAAGATAAGTCTTGTTATGTTTCTGGGTAAAGTGGCCAACAAGTACACATGATGAGTTGAAGGCCATTTCCCCAATATTGGCTGCCAAATTCCATGCACAAAACCCCTCTTTATACGTCCACCTGTGCCTCCAATACATAATTACAATGAGATATACATATATATATATATAGACATATATCTTCATTCTTACACCTATATATATACACACACACACACCCATCTACCCATCTTTTCATTTTGACCATACCCTACATACATGAGAAATCCCCAAATAAAAATGGGGTAATCCAAAATTTCAAAATCTTACTAATTCTATATAGTAGTAGTTTTGTTCATTTACTAAAAAAATTTCTCACTTTGTTTTTATTTATTTATAATATAAAATAAAATATTTAATATATATATAACAAAAATAAGAAATTATCGATAATATTATATTAAGTCTTTCTATACCCTTTCTCGTATTTTCTTTCCACCTTCATTTTAGTCAAAGTATCGGACATAAAAAAATTTTCTTTATTGACGTCCGTAAAAAAGATATATAATCAACTTATCTATCCTATTTGTTCATAAATTAAATTTTTTTTTCAACTTTCAAAGTATTTAACACACGAAATCGTGATCTTTGAATCTTTTTCTATTATGAGATAAGTCATTAATAGAACAATTATCAAATAAAATCTTAGTTTTACGAACCACTATATCGATCTAATTTTCACTAAATTTCTATCGACTAAATCGATTATACTATGGTCACGAACATATTGAGTTCTTTGTGCGAGTTTATCCCTAATTTCAAAAGTTGATCCACATTCACATGTAATTCCATTATATCTTATTAATAGTATAGGCTATGCTTTCTTACGAACTTAAAGAAAAAATGATTATATTACATCAATATTATTAATTCTTGTGTGTGTGTGTGTGTGTGTGTGTGTATATATACATTTAAAAAATTGTGTATGATACATGTAAATCTTCTATAACCCCTTGGTGAGAATATAAAGACGTATTTCAAGTTGGGTGGTGGTGTCATTATTAGGGTTTTAGGAGGTGGGTCCAAAGTGCAGGCAAGGCCTACATGTTGGTATGTCACATAATAACATTTTATTTTATTAATCAATATTATTAATTCTTCTATATTGCTCGACAAGCCGTGACCTGCTAGCCTTAAACAACTCCAAGACTATATATATATATATACATATATACACACACACATATACACATACACATATACATATGTATATTACATTATATTAAAGTTCTTTTTTTTTTTTCTAAAAGAAGTTATATATATTTTTTTTGAAAATAAAATCACTTGGTGTAATAAGTGTTGTATTCCAGTGTCACTATCTTTTGTTTGATTCAATTTTGGAATATGCTTCTTTTCTGTTCCTTTACACTAAACCAGTCTGATTATGATCTGTCTGGAACAGTGTAATTTAATTTGACATAAATCTCTTCCCACCATTTTATGTTGTGTATATATATATATATATATATATATATATATACAACAAATTTCTCCATTAATGGACCACCATTTAATTTAGATTTTACTTATATATATATATAATATTATGTTGTTGAAATTGAAGATGTATACATACAATATGTGTTCATCATTGGGACAATTATTGGCTATTCGGTATGTGTATGTATATGTATGTATGTGTGTGTGTGTCGTCGATGAATGTTACTTAGTTCTTGGTCACCCTAAAATTACCCATCAAAACCCATTAACTTTTCTCTATTAATCCAACCAAATTATATATACACATTTATATATATATATATATATATATATGTGTGTGTGTGTGTGTGTGTGTGTATTATCAATTAATGTAACTTAGTTCTGGGTCACCTTAAAATGACCCATAAAAACCCATTATCTTTTCTCAATTAATCCAAACCAAATTATATATATATATATATATATGTATATATGTGTGTGTGTATATATTTCCAAATACGAATGTAATAGGTAGTAACACTGCAAGCTAGCTACCTTTCATTAATTTCCATGCTATAATTTAGATTCTATGTTATGGCTGAATATATACACACACAAATGAATTACTGGGCAAGTGAACAATCACCTATATATATATATATATATATATATTATATCATGGGCAGCAGTAAACTGCGAACTGGTGATGGATATAGTTAATTAACTTGCAAAATTAATCACAGATATTAACATTGGCAGAAGAATAGAATCTACTTGCATTAGTTTAATTAAAATAGACTTACATAACAGTATTAGGGCATGGTCAACTTTTTGCATTATATATATACAACAGTCGCATTAGGCCAGGGTCCCCTAAACAGATACATATATATATATATATGTATATATATTGATGAAGAAGAGTAGTTAAAATGAACGAGGTTGATATAGGATTATGATATATATTGACTTCGTAATTAATTGAATTAAATGATGAATCTGTTATACATGTCCCATTTTTTTCAGCAACCTTAAACCTCCATTAATTAACTAAGTCTGCTTCAATTACCTATATATATATATATATATTAGTAGTGAATGTGCAGGCATATGTTGGGATTATCCAAGCTGATCATGATCATCATAAAATAAGGGTTTTAATTTCACACATGCGTCCATCTTAATTATTACAAATTAACAGTTTCTAATTATTACCTAGATATATATATATATATATATGTATATAATTCATATATTCTTAATTTAATGACTTGTATATGCTTTAATAAATACTTCCCTAAACTCCATGCATCTAAACTATGATTTCTTCCATTAAATTTATAGATGAATCGAGATATATATATATATATAATTCGTTGTATTACAGAATGTTTTCTTCTATTAAATTGCGTGATTAATGGGTCTAAACTCATTAATTAATTAATATCTATACAGTAACATATATAGGCAATAATTACTTACTACCATCAAAACAAGAACTCAGGAAACAGCCATCTGTTAATCTCTCTGGATCAAATTAGATCAAACAATATATGTATAAGAAGTGGGAATTTAATTGGTTAGTAGCTTCGAAGTCTGGCGAAACCCTAGATGCTGCATTTTTAATGGTAACTCACTTCCAGATTTTTAAACAGAATTCCTTGTTCATATACACACATATATATATGTATGTATGAATAAGCAATTGGTAAGTGAGTTCTTCTCAATAGGATAATACTATAGGTGGCATATTAGCCTCTGTGTGTGTGTGTGTATATAGTATTAAGCGGACCCATTTCTCTTAGATCCTATATACCCACTAGCTAAATTTAGTTGCAGTTATAAGATCACATATATATATATATATATATATATAGAGAGAGAGAGAGAGAGAGAGAGAGAGATGTACAGAAGAAAGCAAATTAAATATATATACATCCGAATTGGAATGGAGATACATATGTATATTCATTGATTAATCAATTAAATATTAATTAATGAAGCCAAATTGAAAAAAATAGAAGAAATTGGGGTTGGTTTTTTTGTCGTATAAGATTGTTAAATGGAATCTGGTTTAGTAAGGGTATAAATTAATTAAAATTAAGAAATGAAGGAGGGGGGTGGAGGAGGGTTTTTATAAAGAAAAAACAATGAAATATGTAGCCCATTAAGGGGACCAATATGTAATTAAGTATTGATTAATTTATTATATCATCCCACCTCCTTCCTCCTCTTACTCTTCTGTTTATAAATCTTGACAGCCTAAGTCCCAAAAAACCTGCAATAAAGCAACTTATTCAACCAACAATGACCGGTTCTGGTTCTCCCTGTGGAGCCTGCAAGTTCTTGAGAAGAAAATGTGTTAGAGGTTGTGTTTTTGCACCTTATTTCTGCCACGAACAAGGTGCTACTCATTTTGCTGCTATACATAAAGTTTTTGGTGCAAGTAATGTTTCCAAGCTTCTTGCTCATCTTCCAGTAAGCGATCGATGCGAAGCTGCTGTTACTATCTCTTATGAAGCGCAAGCTAGGCTTCAAGATCCCATTTATGGCTGTGTCTCGCATATTTTTGCTCTCCAGCAGCAGGTTCTTGTTTATTTCTTCTTAATTCTCAAAACCCTAATTTGTGTTCTTCTCCTTAGTTTCTTAATTTAACTGGGTTATTCTAAATTACGTATGCGTATATATGTATGCAGGTTGTGAATCTGCAGGCACAGCTAGCTTCTCTCAAAGAACAGGCAGCTCAAAGCATTTTGAATGCCTCTGCTGCTGCAAACCCTAGTGATGATCATCAGAAAATATACTATGGCAGCTACGAAAAGCTTCCTTTCGATGACCATCACGAAGAACTCGATCATTTCCAGAATTTGTTTCTTCAAGGGAATTCAAGCATGACTACACCTCAATTAATTAACCAAAATATTTCGAGTAATTCCACAGTTAGCCAATATTACGACAGCCTTAGTGGGTCTACATTTTTCAACCCGAATTCGAACATGGGTAACTACAGGAGTAGTTCAGTCATCACCGGTGAAGATGTCTCGTTTTCGAGCTTCGGAGAGTCTTGTTTCGACATGCAACAAGCAAATAGTAGCAGGCAATGGAGCTTCCAAGACACGGATGATCTTCAATCCGTGGCCTTTGGCTACGGTACTACTACTAAAAATTCATCAGCCTAGCTAGATATATACATATAATCGGTGAAAGATCGATCAATTTTCAATTTTGAAAGAAAATTGTGCTTTTGATTGCTGATCAATCAATATCGTCAATAAAAAGCCTAAAGAAAACCCTAGAAATGTTCATATAGTATAATCGGATTAAAACCCTATGATCCACCCCTACTTTTATTTTTATCTTTCATATTTTTACTAGTGTAACCTCCGGATTTTAGTTAGTAGAATATTAATCTTGTACGGTAAAAAAATTAATTTCTGGTTAAATTTTCTCATCTAATAACTAATTACTAATTAATATTCTCTAATGATCTTATATATATATATATATACACTAATGCCCTTCACTTAAGTAATTACTGCAACCTAATTTTTGACCTAATCCATACAGTTAATTACCCACTTCAACTATATAATTACCACTAGCTAGCTTACTTAACTACTCTTAGATGTGTGTGTGTTTATATGCATATACTTATATACATATATATATATATATAGCAGATAATTGTGATTATTGATGGCAGATGACGACAATTAGTTTGATTGATCTATACTGTTTTCTGTACTTTGGGATATGTATACATATACATATATGTTGTATGCATAGTTAGGAAATATATACATGCTTATGATCCCAAGAACTTAATTTATTTCATTTAGATAGGTACTTTAGGGTTCATCAACCCAACATTAGATTATATAAATTCTTAATCTGAACACACATTTTTCAATGAGAGAAATTTCAGTAAATGTTTTTTTTTTCTTCTCCTTCTCCTGATCATCATGCATGTATGTTATAAATATTGTTGTATTTATCTATCTATCTATGTATCTAGCTAATTAATTAATTAGTTTATTCATATATGAATATCATAGTTATGATGTATATTATATTCCATTTGCCATTGCTTAGCTGACAATTATTTTTTTTGCATTAGACCAGTGTATGTATACATATACACACACACACACACACACACACATATATATATAATTATTTTTTTATAACTTGTTTTTGAAGGTAAAATAATTGAAATAGCTAGATACTTGAATGTTATTTGCAGTTCATTGTGCAATAATATTAATCTGGGTTATTACAGTGTACTACTGAAAGTTCTTCCTTAGTTATGCTACTTTTTAGTTTTTAATTCAGTGGTGGATTATGGAGTTATAAATATGTATATGTGGGTGCATCTGTATATTTGCATATATACATATATATATATATATATACAGACAGTCTTGACCTTCCAAAGTGAACGGTGAGTGTGTGTGTCTGTGTGTGTGTATATATATATGTATTTAGGTAAGACATGTGCATGCCCTTTAAGCTTCTCGAGGTTAATTTTATTAATTAGTTTTAAAGAGAAGATTTTTTTTGGTAATTAGTGGATATACACACACACATATATATATATATATCTATATATAACACGTATAGGCAATACTGATAATAAATATGTATAATGATAAGAGAATTGTCAGAGGTTCTTCTGAGTGTGAAATGTGGATGCTATGCTGCGTATAATTCTGTCTGCATTATGAATCATACCATCACCAAATTAAAACAAAATGATGATATATATATATATATATATGGCCCCTGCATACATCCCTTATAAATTCTCTACTGCTTTCTATATTGCAGTTGTCTCTTGCAATATATATACATATACATTATATATATATATATATATGAAATTCATCCCTTTAATTTTCCTACATTGCAGATGATTCATTAATATATAAACATCTAAACACCTGTCTAATTGATGTAATAAATTAGCCAAACACATGCATATATATATATATATATGCATATAACTAATTATGATAATTAAATATATTTCTTAAATAGATTAATATATTTTTGGAGATAAGCAAGATGGGCAAACAGATCAGTTGATATGCATACATATTGCATTACAATTATAATTATAATATTATTTATTAGAGAATAGAAATAACATAATTGATTGCATGATATATATACATATATATATATATGTACATATAATACATATGTATTATGCAGCAATTAAGAACAATCTTACATGTTCTATTTCTGGGGATTGGTAATTAGGTACCAAAGGTAAAATCATTTGATAATAATATATACATATATATATATATATTATGATTAGCATATACGACTGATTTGATCCAATCATTGATCCATCCTTTTTAAACTTATAATGACATATATACATATACATATACATATACCTATACATATATTTTCTTATTTTTAAAATAATTTCTATGTATTTTCTCTTTTTGAAAATCTTTTTTTTCTTTTAAAAAAACCCAAGATAATTTATTTTGGAAAAAAAAAATTGCATTTTAAGAGCCCGAAGTGTTTAAGTTAATGGGCTTTTTTTGTAGCCCAACATAAAAGGGACCCACCACCTCTAAATTTTAATATTTTTAATAAAATAATAAATAATTTATATATTTATTAAAAATAAAAAATAAATTAATTATATATTTAGGAATTAGGAAACTAAAATTGGAATGTTTATTATTAAGCTGATATTAATAATAATTAACAAATACTTGAATTTCCATTTATAGGTCTGATTTAGGATCAAATGCTCGCATGTGGTCCAGTCCACCATTGTTACCATGGACTGGACTGGACTAGTGGATCAGGACCACTGGTTCAGGTCTATTCTAAATCTAGTTTCATTCTATATTTAACTTATTCTGCCTTATGAATTTAAATCTAAAGTGAAAATCAAACAATATATTTTAAATTTTATTAAAATTTTTGAAATTTATTTATGAAATTCATACTGATTTAGCTACAAAAATGATGAATATTTATTCTATATGAAAAGGGTAATTTTTTTTTTTTTTACTAATTTTGTCAATGGCTCGAGGAGCAATTTGATGTTAAAAAAAAGAAAAAAAAAGACCGATTCAGCTTGCTCAAAAAATGGAAAGAAAAAGACTTTAAATCGTCGAAAAACTTATAGGTGTTTGGTTGATGAAATTGATTACCGATGTTTAAAACGATTACTTAAGACCATAAATAGAGTGTTTTAAGCAACAAACTTTGTATTTTTATTCCTAAAGTAGAAAGTTTATAGACCAATCTATATAGATCTTTTCTCAAGTCTTATTGAAAAAAAAATTGTCTTCAGGTCTATTTTAAATAGTTTTAAACCTAATTGTGTGACAATTTTCATTATAGGACATATGGAGGTTCGTGACTGGGGAGAAATTCTCTTCATAATCAATTCCTTAGTTCTTGATGTAGCTTTTTGTATCTATTAATAGACTCGTCGAGCTTGTGTTTGATTTTGGAACTTTACTTATTTCTAAATAGTTTATGCCTAAATGATTGATCAAGTATCTTTCAAATATCATTATTAGTTATTAATTTTATATAAAAATGTCGTTGCATTCGTTTATGCAGTAGATGATAAAGATACAAAATTTATGGAAGAAGTTGGTTCATAAATATTGTAACATCCAACCCCTAAATAAAAAAAAAGAGTAAGTAAATAAATATATAAATTGAGATTAGGGTCGGTTTAAATGAAATGAATTTTAAAATTTTGGTGTTTTTATTTAATTTTAAGAACCTAAATAAAAACATGTGAGGAAAAAAAAAGGTAAAAACATAAATAAATGAAAGTGAAAGGGGATAAAAAAATAAAAAAATGGACGATCCTGATTGAACCATCTGAGGAGATCCAACGACTGAGGTTTTATTGAGGATAAACGACCTAGGTTGAGCTTGTGAGATCCAACGGCTAGGGAGATGGGTATATAAGGAAAAGCTTAGGGTTTCTTTTTCATTTGAGAGAGAAGCCGAAAAAGAGAGAAAGGAGAAGAGAGGTGAGTTGATCGAGTGAGGGAGAGGAGGAGAGAGTTGTCGAGTAGGGGAGTCGAGAGGAAAAAAAAATAGAGTGGGAGCCGAGTGGAAGAGAGAAAGAGAAGAAAGGAAGAAGGAAGACGGAGAAGAGGAAGGGAGAGAAGGAGAAGCGTAGTCGAGCGGGTGAGTGAAAGGAAGAGCCAAGAATGGCCGCCACAAGGGAAGAAAAGAAGAGAGAGTAGCAGAGGTGGTAGAGTTGTGGAAGCCGAAGCCAAAAGGAAGAAGAAGGAAGGGAAATCGGGCGAGAAGCCGTGTGACGAC